CCCCAAAACCCCAAAACCCCAAAACCCCAAAACCCCTTCTTCTGGAACTTTAATTGATATATTAATCATTTTTGTTGAATGCCTTTACCTCTTTCCAAGAGTCAGAAATCTTCGGGTAATTCATGCTCCTGCTTTGTGCTTTACAGTCATTGTTGGAGTTGAACGCCATTGTGGGCTCACTGTCACATGCACCCTCTCCGATCATGATTGGAGCTGGGGATGGCTGAGTCTTACTCTACAGTTAAGGTTATTTATTATCGAATATGGGCCAATGGCCTTACCATGATTGGGTTCCTCAGACTCTGCTTTTTGTTCCTCTTCCCGAATGTATACTCGAATGGCTAAATCTGAGAAAGACTCTTACAGTAGAGGATGGCGACTGTGGAGCCAGAGTGTTTCGTGGGGATACTGGGTTGCCTAAAACAGGTCATTATTGGCTTACTTTTTAACTCTGATGGTTTCTGTTGGTAATCAAAAGGTTGCAAGTCTGTTGCTCTGTCTATACAGTATTAATTTTAATCATAAAAATACGAGATTCTAGATAATTAATGCTATTTATAATGTCTTGTGCCTCAAATTCATCACTCCTATTTAGGTCAGGCTTTTTAGCAGAGTTCAGCACTTTCATGAACTTTGGCTGGGGCTTTACATTGGTTTCTGCCCATCTAAAGCCATGTAATCCAGTCCCTGAGGAGATTCCTTTTTCGCTACCTGGAGAGAGATCATCAGATTCAGTTTTGGAGATCTCGTTGAGCTTATTACTAGCCAGGTCATAGTCTATTTCTGCATTAAGAGTTGTTTTGCTGAGATTCGGCATGCTTTGAGCTTCCCTTATTGCTAAAGAATTATTCAAGGTAATTGTACCTCCTCCATTATCGGAGTAAAGCGAGCTAGGAAGGAGTTTTTCTTGTGGAGAGTCTTTGCTATCTTTACTAGCCTGGTCATTTTGCATTCTTTCATGGCAGCTGAAGTAGAACTCCGCTTTCTCCTCCTCAGTATCTTCATCTTGGCCAGAGCTAGGGGCTTGTTTGTCACCCTTGGAATTTTCTGTTAAAAATTACATATTGGAAGCTTACCTTCTTGAGGTAGATGAGCCACCAATGAGCTCTGGTTCTTCTCACAATTTGGGTGGGAGTTTTCTTGAAAAGCGTCTGAAGCAACATTACTGGGCTATGAATTGTCAAACTTGGTGATACCTCTTCAGGGACTTCAGCCAGCTCTTCCTTGGTGGCCTCCATCTCGACGAATTCGCTGCTCTCGAGTGGAGAAACCTCGTGAGAAGGATCTTGGGCTTGCTAGACTTCATAAGATTTTCTGCTAACAAGTTTTGTGTAATTTTACCTACCTGTTTTTGGGTCCCATTGCTTTGTGCATAAGGAAACCTATCCAAATTAATGATTAATTAAAATGAAACAACCTGCTTTATCACCAAAAGCTTGCTTTCTAGTTTTGGTAAAGAAATAATTTTGCCTCAGGCTCATGTAAATATTCCAAACATTTTCACACTTGTTAGTTTTCATTTGAAGGTGATAATAGTTAAGCTCAAAGCTAGGGGATATAACAGAAGCTTGGTTTCACCAAACTTGAAATTTTGATAATATCTACAATACTTACCTCAAAAAATGCTCCTCTATTATATCCTGCTGTGATTTGATCTTGTTATTAAGGTTCTTGAACAAGTTCAAGACTAATTCCTTGAGAGTTACCATTTCTGATTCGAGCGACATGATTTTCTCTGTGCAGCCTATTCACTGGCTTTGTATCTGAAGCTATATAGGTATGTTACTCGCGATAAAGCATATAAAAATCTCTGATTTCTCTTGGCTCTATCGAAAGCCTCACTAAGGGACAGGGTCTTCCAGTGAGGTTCTTCAGGAGTCCATTGAAGATAGGCTTTGTGAAAGCTATGTCAGTAAACTACATAGCCCGCTCAGCCTAAACTCTACTGCAAAGATGCAACAAGAGACCTAGACCAGATCTGCGCTAGCTCCTAAGCCATGGAAGATGACCTCTTGACTGGCGAGGTTCAGTTAAGACCTCAGCATGGCTTAATGCTTACCATTTTGAGTCAATTAATTTTAATTTAGAAGGGGTTTTGGGGTTTTGGGGTTTTGGGGTTTTGGGG